TTCAGTAGGTAACCTTTATAAAAAAAATTACTCTGTCATGTTTGCTGAATATTTCACTAGATAATCACAGATAATCCGTGACAAAAAATCAGCTCTGGCTCCCCCTAGTGCTCCTAATGGTATTTTTAATGAATCCATGACGGCAACCCATTCAGAGCCAAGACAGACATAAGTACATCTACAGCCCTGGGAATGAGACTCAACAATCAATCTTTTTCTTGGCTCAGATTGGTTGTTTTCATTCAGGCCCGGTGGATTCTTGCAAATGCCATTAAGAACACTAGGAGGAGCCAGAGGAACCTGATTTTTCACAGATTATTCATCTCATGTACTACTGTCAGGATATAGAGAAAGTTCCAGCAAATATGACAAAAAGTTATTTTTCTAATAATTACCTACTGCAGCTTTAATTACTACAAGAGATATTAAGAGATAGGTTTACAATTCATCAAGCCTGTCTTAGAACAATAGTCAAGTATGGACACTGGAACAGGTTTTTCTTGCTGTAATGCCCCTCCTGTTTATACTGGAGATTAAAAGATTAACTCAGTATCAAACTGTATCTTCCAAAGCTACAGTCTTATTAGTATAAAAATCCATCTTAACCTCTTCTTAAACACCATCACTTAAAATGATAGGTTAGTAACTGATATTTTAATTCCAATTACAGAAAGCAAAACATGTTTCAATGTTCATATGGGCACCTATTGTTTTAAAACAGAACTGAAAAATTGTCGATCTATCCTTTCATCAAAGATGTCCCAATAATAGAAATCTTTTCCAAGAATTAAATAATAATTGTCTGTCTAGTTATTCCTGCCCTAGTATACATTTATTTAATCATGTGATCATTTGAAATTTGCTCTTACTATAGTAACTTTTTGTATGCCACCGTTGGTTCCTTGGAGCATACCAAAGAGGTAACGCATCTTATATAGTCAACAGTGTTTGGAAAGTACCAAACAAGTTGGCTGCAAGGATCAACAGAACCAGAAAATCAAGAAACTCCGCCATTGTCATTTTAAATAAATAATTATTGAAATGCCCACGGCCATCGAAACTGCAGTATATTCAGTGTGAGTGTATATATAGCATAAATATAGCAATATCCCAGCTACCACTGTCAGGTGTTCTATGCAGCAGCTGGAAACATGCACCAATATATAAACGCAACAGTTGTACATTAGGATAATGATGTGCTGCACAACAGCATTCATACAAACTGGGCTCCTTTCCCAACACTACCCCATGCACTTCTTCAAGTTTGACACATCAGAAAGCTCTCGTTCTGTGTATTTGTGTGATTATTTCTGTTTGTTTTGTTGACTATCATTTACTTTAAATACCCTCTTTTGCTTTCCTTTAGATAACAGACACATTTAAAGAAAACTGAGACTTTTGTTTTACTACCTGTAAGCTACGTTGTTGTGTTTTTCCATTATCCTGAATCCATTTAGGCAATGCAGAAAGTGTCCGCCTACTTAGGGAATTCAGCAAATAACTATAGCGCCCTTCCTGTGCTTTTATTTTATTAGCATAATGTGTCCGATGAAGCAGATCAAACCAAAAAACTGAAACAGCACTGCTAACACTCACAGCAGTTAGTCTGCATATGGTCTTAATAGGAAATAAAACAGACAGATCTGGATTCAGAGCCCTGTGCCAGTCTTAAACCAATGTAGAAATATACTCTTCCTATCACATCCAAAAACAGTGATGCAGTAGGAAGAGGGCTCTAAAACCCCTGATAAAGACCTTGTAAGTCTGTCTTTTATTTGCCAAAATAAAGTGTCACATATGGTCCTTGGCAAGGGAGGAAAGAAGTGATGGATTAAGATTTAGTGAGATCTGCCAGCCAGTCCTTCAAACTGCAACAAATGTCTTTGTCATTAAAGGAATACAACATGGGAATCTGCCAAACACAGCTGTAAACCCAGAATACTGTGCCTGTACCCACAAAGCTTACAGACAATGTAGACTGAGTAAATGGGAGAGGCTGCATAGGCACAAAACCAGAGATCACGACCTTGTCTCAGCTCTGCATGTTAGTAAGACAAAGACAGGTCAAAGACAGCAGCTGCTCTCAGCTGGGTGTGTGTGTGTGTGTCAGCAGTGCCCAGTCTGACATAGTCTTGGAGTTGCTCCAATACTGTAGCAACTCTTCCTCAACTCGTTATATTCAGAGCATTAAGGCAGCGTTAGTATCTGGGAGATAAAAAAACAAAAACAAACAGGAAACACTGACATCACACAGATCCTGAAAGCAGCTTCTCCCTCTCACAGATCCAGCAGGGAGGGGAGTACCAACTCAAAACTGCCAAAAGAAGAAAGCTAAGATTGAGAATCTTACTTTTCTCCAAAAAATTTCCTCCAGAAGTCAGCGGCGTCAGCTTTGGTGATCCTGAAAGTGTCCCCCTGGAACTGTCCTCCGGGGAAGATGGCTTTGATTTCAGCCAGCATGTGGCTGAAGATCAGAGACAGCTTGGTCAGGTTCCTCCTGCAGAGAAAAGGCCAGGAAAGAGAGGAAACAGTTGGTGCACCATTATAGCCTCAAATGATCAACAGACATCATATGGAAATTATTTGGCCTTCAGAATTCTGGACATATTTGCAGATTTTACTCACTTTAGATTTACTGGTACATGAAAACTGATCAGTCTGACTGACTCAGCCCAATAAAGTACTTCAAAGTATAGAGATAATATACAAGGATACGTGGTAACTGTAATTGCAGGGTTACATCAATTAAAGTAAGTACATCAATCAGGTTGTAGCCCCCACCTTGTGTCATATTTGCTGAAACTTTCACAATATAAAAAGCCAGAGGAACCTGATTTTTCACAGATTATCGGTCTCTGTACTACTGTCAGGATATAGTGAAAGTTTCAGCAAATATGACAAAAAAAAACAACAACTGCAGCTTTAAATAGAAAAAATAAAACAAAATAAAAAAAAATAATTAATTAAACTAACAAAAACATGAAAAGTTTTGGAGCAATTAGTAAAATGTAGCTATATCACACATCATTTATCACATCTGTTAAACGATAAAGCTAAAAATGAAAAATGCCTGTGTTATATCACACAGAACGCGTTGTAAATGACACAAGCGCTGAGGAAGGTCACACAAATAACTAATTATTCAATAAATTCAAAACCAAATGCTGTTATTTTCCACCCTTTTCAGCTTTTGTACAACTTTAAAATCAAATGTCACAATCACACAGCAGCTCCGATCAACCCAGTGCTGCTTGTTTAAACCTTATTTAACTGGCATTACACCTCGTCAAACACACAGCAAAGTGTTAGATAATGCAGATGTCACGTTAAGGTCAGATTCACTTAAGTTGTTTCTGTGTCAATGTCTCAATCAACAAAAACTTAACGATTCCTATATTCAGGTGATTATACACTAATGAAAACATACCTATGAAAAAGATATTCCATTTCAAAAACATTTTCAAATAGCCCCATATAATAGTTTTTAAAAAAAGCTAACAGTAATACTAAAACAAATTAAACTGAAACTAAACTGAACTAAAAATATATATTTATATATATAAAATGAAAAATACAAAACTATAATTACTCTGGTACCCAGTATTTGACTTCAACATACACATGTAAACAAGCACTTGACAATAACACACACCTTATCCTTGATTATATATTTTATGATAACCATATGATATTGCATTAAACTGTATTAAACTGTAATAAATATAATACTTTTACCACTTATATTATTGTTGTTGTACATGTATTATGATATTCTTCTCTATTTCCATTATATAGATTTAAGTATTGTATTATTATTTAACTGTGTTTTTATTATTATTATTATTATTATTATTATTATTATTATTATTAGAGTGTAAGTTACATACACTGCATACATATGTAACACTATATAGTTTATTATATTTTTCATATATATTGTATTTCATATTTATTATTTGCCTATATTTATAATAGGTATATTACACTACTGGATTTCTTTCACACAAATATTTGTCAAATTCATTGACACAGTCTAAAGTATTGTAATGTTTATAATTTATTTAGTTTTTCAATGTCATTTTTCAAATTTCCACCCCCACCCCAGCCTCCAAATATCAATGAAGTCATATAAATTTCCTTTCGGTGTGAAAACTCTACTGAGCATCTCATGGCTCCATATAGTCAGTAACCTGTTCTTCTTCAAGAAACGCAAGTGCTCAAGAGTTCTTTCTCTGATAAAGATTTCATTTTCAAAACGTTGCTAAATCGTTTTCAAAGAAGTCCAGCTTTGATGAGGTATTATAAAGTGAGCTGTGAGATTAATGCTGAAATAGCTATGATATGGATAGTGGAGTTTAAAGCTACCCTGTTCTGAAAAAGTTTTTTTTTTTCTTTTTCTTACAGAGTTTGACACTAGAAGGATGTTTTCACATTCATCTGCTGAAACTGGAAAGTTTCTCTGTGCTCACTGAAAATCTGATTTTAACGGGCGGGGCCTACCAGCAGGATCTGTGACATCACAAATAGTCTGGAAGTCAAGGCAAGTCCAGTATGCAAATTGTGTCCAGCAGGAAAACTTCAGAAAATCAACAACATTTGCATATTCATAGACTGAATACAGAAGAAGTATGGATTTTTTATTTTGAACTGTGGAACTATACTTTTTTTGTGGAAAAAAAAAATATCGTACTCACAATATTTTTCCAAGCAGAGTATCTGTATATGTCTTAAGGCTGCAGAAAGTAACTTTTACTTTTACTTCCTCTACTGTATCCTGACAATAGTACATTAAACAAATAATCTGTGAAAAAAACAGGTTCCTCTGGCTTGTTCTAGTGCTCCTAATTTGCATTTGCAAAAATGCAGCAAGCCTAGGAGCACTAGGTGTAGCCAGATTTTTTCACAGATTATCTGTCTCATGTACTTCTGTAAGGATATAGTGAAAGTTTAAGCAAATATGACAAAAAATATTTGTATAAAATTGAACTACTGCAGCTTTAATAAGGCTATGCACCAGTGGATGCATGGAAGACAGGAAAGACAGTGAGAAATATTAAACAGCTTGAACTTTAAGTGTGTCTAATCTGAGGTCCTCCTCTATTTCCCAGCTTGAACTCCCAGTGGAGACAGTAACAGCCTCGACTCCTCAACCTGGTGAGCTGAGTGGGGCTGACGAGAACCTGGTTGATACTAAACTGCTGGTGAAGCCCTGGGACAAGCTGCCAGACACATTTGCCTCTCCTGGGGGAAGGGGAAAACAGGGTCCTGGGGTGACCTCCGTGGTGGGTCCTCGGACACCAACTGATTGGCTGTATGAAGCAGAGAGCACACAGGCTCCAGTCAGCCCTCCTCCTCCACCCCTGACAAAGTCATCAGTGGCAGGTGAACACACAGCCACACCTTTGATACTTGCTTTTCCTGATGTTTGTTGCCTTCTGATACAAGGTGACGGGAAATGTTGTGTAACAAGTTCCTTATCACTGTTGTGTTTGCTTTGCTTAGGAAATCTTGCCACCTCCCTTTCTCAAATCATTTCCTTTTATTAGTCATGACAATGAGCATTACAGAAACCAAACATACCCTTTAAACATTATATTGTCTAGGACAAGTAAGACGTGGATCTTTGGCTCTCCACAACACTCCACACAGTTTCAGACATGTTAATAACAAGATTAACCTGAATTAAGGATTAACAATAACCCTTCCTAAATCCCGCCCCTTCTGGAACCTCTGTCAACTTTCTCCTTTTCTGTTAGTAATATTTTTTTCCCAGGATGGCAAAGTCATAACCCACCCTACTCTGCTTCTGATTGGCTTACCATGATCAATCATGACTTTGCCACCCTGGAAAATGCTACATGCTAGGCTCATCTAGACAACCAGATTTTGAAGATGGTTAAAAGATAAGTAACACATAGTCATATCTTAGCTTAGTTAGCTAATGTTAACAATGCTAAAAGCTAACTAACTAACTAGCTAATCCACATTGACTGTCAGCTAGCTAATTAGCTAGCATTTAGCTAACATTATCTTTCAAATGTAACTAGCTAGCTAACAATTAATGTAACTTGGCTAACATTTTGCTAACATAAGATTTGACTATATTTCATCCTTTTCTTTTCCTGCACATATGCTATGTGCTAGGCTAGTCTATGTCGAAAAGACAACAACAATTTCAAGATGGTTAAAAGATAAAAGCGACATATATACAGTTAACGTTACATCTTAAGTTAGCTAATGTTAACTAAACAAAAAAAGGGGTGTCCCTCTGGTGCTTTTCAGGTAGAGGATCCTACTAGTTTAGAACTGTTGAAAAAGTCTGAGGCAATGAAGCTAACGTTAACAAAATGCTAACTAACTAGCAACTTAATCTACATTGATCATAAGCTAGCTAAAAGTTTTTTTGGTTAATTGTAAATGATAAGAACAGATTTCATTGGTGGTGTAGTTAAAGGCCCAGTGTGTAAGGAGGATCTACTGTCAGAAATGGAATATAATATTTATAATTTCTAATGACTGAAAATAAGAATTGTGGCATCTTAGAATCAGCCGTTTTTATCTACAAACGCCTCTCATGGAGGCAGCCTTGTTGAACCCCCATGTTTTCTTTGGTGGACGGCTGTGGCTCAGAGGTAGAGTGGGTCATCCACTAATCATCACTAGTCATCTACTAATCGGAAGGTTGGCGGTTCGATCCCCAGCACCTCTTGCTGCATGTCGAAGTGTCCTTGAGCAAGATATTGAACCCCAAATGTGAATGTGAATATATGTGTGTGAATGGGGTGAGTGTGGCATGTAGTGCATTGACTGGCACTAGAAAGGTCCATTTACCATTCTACAGTAACCCAGACAAACCAAACACTGGCATTTTGCAGTCACCGTAATTTCTCCTTCACGCTTGGAAGGTGAGGGTGAAGGGAGTCGGGTAGATGCCTCTAAATCCTACTCAAGTTAATTTAGTCATGTACTGTACTGAAGTACAGTTTGTAGATACTTGTTATTTACTTGAGTATTACCATTATATGCTTCTTTCTCTTTCTACTCCACTACATTTATTACAGTTTTTCACAGATGGAGATCAGATTAATATAAATTTAAACATGTATTTTTATAGATTGAACTACCCTACAGTATTTAAAGTAGTTATATGAGCTTCATCTCAATCAAGTAAAAGCAGCTTACTCATTAATGCATCAGTAATAATGATCCAATAATATAATACATAGTAATATAACCTCAGTGGGGCATTTTCCT